AACTGAGAAGTTGTCCCTTCTTAGAGAGTGAAGGAGATGGAAACCAATAGCAGCACAATCTGAAATAAGTGCTTCACAAACTTGCACCATAAATAATGCATGCCATTGTAGCATAAAGATTTTATGGACCTTCAGTTAAAACAATCTTCTTAAGCCATTGCTGATGCAAAATATATAGTTTCCCTCTACCAGCACTCTTAACAAACTGATTCTCTGAAATTTTCAGTTATTTATAATAAAAGAAAAGCATCTCTAGGCTGCATGTCTAGACTATGTTTTTCTGTGGTATAATCTGGGAATTTCTGTTGCTTTTGCAAGTAGGCTGTCCTGGATTTCTTTTTTTAACCTTGTGCCATTCTTTCCCAGGTGCGGATATACAGGGGTCTCCTGGACTGCATAAGGCAGATCATGCGAGAGGAGGGCCCGGGTGGATTCTTTAAGGGCCTTTCACCCAGCTTGCTGAAGGCTGCTGTCTCTACTGGTCTCATCTTCTTTACTTATGAGCTGTTCTGCAGCCTGCTGTGTGCCCTGAAGAATGCTGACAGCCCCAAGAGGAAGGGAGGCTGAAAGGGGCATGTGTTTTGTCTACCTAGTGTTCTCCTGCAAGAGGGAAACTGAAGGCTTTGCTCTGTCTTTATCATGCTGGAAATGTCAGAGCACCCAGAACTCCACTAGCCCATAGGAAATTGTGTCCTGTGTCCAAGCAGGGGATGAAGGTGACTGCAGTTGTGCTAAATGCACTGAATTGCTTTACTGGAAGCTGTTATAGAGAGCACTTCTTTGTTCTGTCTCCCCTGATACCAATGTGTGTTTAGTGAGGAGGGCAGCCAAGCATACAGCTAACTACCTGGCACAGACTGTGCTCTGACAAGACACTTGGTAAACTGGGTGAGTGCTTGTGCTTGCCGTGGGTCACAGATGGGTCCTGGACAGCTGGTGCTGCCTCACCAACATAGCGCCGCTTAATGCTGCATTTGCACAACTTTATTTTCTTCCTTTCGGCCTGCTCTTCACAGCTTATTCTTTTCTCTGTTGCACAGGCAGCTCTGCACCAGATTTGAAAAGACAGCTAAAACCACTTCAGCATACACAGGTGCTTGGTTTTCGTTTCCTTTGCTGACGGTCATTTTTTTCTCGATTACAGCTTGCTGGCTGTGCCAGTTGTAAACACAGCATCTTTTAGTGGATCGTGCTAACTCGAGATTGTTCTCCCTTTACCTCTGGTCAGCCTGATTGTATCTTAAGTGCCAATTTCTCTTCTGGCATGTCTTTTCTCTCAAGATTTTGCATTGCCTCGGTTGTGCTTTTTACAAATAAACCCAAAGGGAGAAGAACCCCACTCTGTGAGGTTTCAACGCACAAGCCCAATTCTTACTTCATAGTTTTTTGTTTCCCTGCTGCAATGAGGTGGGTGAACAAGTGCTTTGTAGATTTAATTTGGACTATGTTGGAACGGTGAAGGAAAGTCCAGTGGAAACCATGCTAGAGTCTTTTTTTAAAAACAGTTTCCTGTGACATTTTTACAATCATCAGGGTGTTAATCCCAAATGGTCTGGTCAAATTCCAGCATGACCAATTCCATTCTGTTGATATGAGCCTTCTCAAGCGATTTTGATTGCATATCAGTGTTACTTATCCTGAGCTATTGTGAGAGGCTCTTTTTAAAAAGCAGCTGTTTCACTGGTGGATGAGATATCCAGTGAAATTCTTACTGCAGATGATTTTGAGAGCTATATAAAATTTGATTCACTGTGCATTGTCAGATAGGAGGCTGATATATGAGCCTCTAAGGAGGAGTTTTAAATGCATGCATTAAGAAAATGGGCATGAAAATGCTGACAAGTTTTCTCAGAGTTCCTCAGTCCCACTGGCATTTTCCTGTGTTACACAGGCTCTAATGAGGTCTCCTCAAAATGTGCTTTAAAATATTTTGCCTTTGTTTACTGTTTATCTGTTATTCTTGGAAGGCATCATAGCCCATAATGACTTGGCGTACATCATAACCGGTAGTGAACTGAGCCTCGTGACATCCTTCAAAACAGACATAGACAGGTTGGGGTTGTTACTGTTTTTTTGGCTACTGGTAGAGAGGAATGCTATAGCAAGGACAGAAAAGTTTCCATGCTGACTTAGACCTCCATACCCCCATAGGAAATCCGGAGCCATCTGTCCTATTTAAACATTACAGGACTCTTGTTTTCTGTGAAAGAGTTCAGCTGCACACAATAGAGGTAAACTGGGTAGGAACTCAGCAGTGAGAAATGTAAGCTCTGGAACAGAGGATGATTTTCTTTGGTTGTCACAGAGGCAAAGAATAAAGAGCACAAAACTGTACTCTGTTAAGATTATGTCCCTTGAATGTGCTGTGGGGCTTGAGGTCATTCAGGCAAACTGCTTCAGGGTGTGTAGTGCTTGCCTGCTCCATGGAAGGGGCAGCAATGGAGAGCATAGGGCAGCCTCTTCTCCCTCGGATAGATTTCCTCCGCAACGCATGACTTGCTTCCAGCAGGTGTCAGTGTTTAAGTTACGTCAGTCCAGCCTGGGCTCTGTAAGAGGCTCTCCTCGGGCAGAGCTTTGGCATGCGACCTGGTTTATACGTCCCTCATGGAGGCCGTTAGGCATAAATGTTAGAGGCTCATAAAGGCAGCTGATCTTTCAGTGAGTGGAGGAGAAAGAGGTGACAACCTCAACTGTACAATATTGGAAGTTGCACATAACCATTGCTTTGGTCAGCAGCATCTGTCCATGAGGAGTTTGAGATGTGCACTTGGCAGACTGAGAGTTGCTGTTGGGGAACCACTGTAATGGCAATGTTACTTTAGGGAGTAAGAGTCGTGTAATGCAAAGAACTGTGGTAGCTCTTCTTTCTGATGCTGCCCAAGCAAAACCCATGAACACCATTCGAAACAAAATTTCCTAGAACCGGAAGAACGGGAGATAGCTGTAGTCCCCTGGTTCTTCTGTACAACAGAACAGATTATCTCTTAAAAGTTTTGCAGTTCAGTGCAGATCCAAGTGAACCCTGCGGTGGGTGACTTGCTGTGAGACCACCAGAGTCCAACTGTTGGGATAGCTGGGATTCACTGATGTAACCCTGTCAGTAGGGATTTGTGTAGCCTGAAATTAACCTCTCAAGCGCTTGGCTGTTGTACTTGTTTTCCTCCAGTGCCTTCTATTGTGATAATGTCCAAAAGCACTTAGGCAGAGCATTACATCTCAGCTGGATGTGGCTCTGAGCAGCCTGGTCTGGTAGTTGGTGACCCCACGCACGTCAGGACAGTTGAAACTAGATGATTGTTGTGGTCCTTTTCAATCCAGGCCATTCTACGATTCTGGGATTGCACAAATCACACTGTGGCAATGGGGGTCCACCATACCTGCCTGAAATGGGAGAGCCCTTATGCACAAATTCTGTGATGGATGCACTGTTTCCTTTAGCACTGATCATCTCTGAGTTCCTAGATGGTTGTATGGGTGCTCATCCAGTAGCATCATCTTTAAAAATAAATGAATGTTTTACAGTTGGTTCTGGAATTGACTGTTTTTAATTTGCATTTAAGCTGTTATTGTGATGCAGAACATTAATTCTCTCTGTTGTCTGGGTAGATCTTTTGCAGCTGCTGTCATCTGAAGGCATGTGAGCACAAAGTGCTTAAAGCATGTGGCTACCTTCATAAAGACAAGACATTAAATACTTTGTTGTGCTCGTGTCTGGCTGCAGTTTCTCATTCCTTCCCTTCCGGTCAGTGTGTGCAGTTGGACCCTGCACGATTGCTGGGGCAGGAGCTGCTTCCTGGGAGCCATTGGCAGGCAGAGCTGTGCTATCCTCTCTGCATTGAGTATCGTTGCGAACTGCACAAAACAGTCACAGCCAGGGCTTTGTCTTGAGCCGCAAATCCACGGTGAAGGATTTCAGGCTTTGTTTTCAGCCAGGCCACACAATGCTGCAGAAAATGTTACAAACTGCTCACTCTGCATTTCCTCTGGCTGTTTTCCATTTTCAGCGTTCTGGCTGCATTGCTGTCTGGTAAAAGCTGCAGTAACGTCAAGAGCTGAATGATCTTCCCGACCTGAGAGAAAAAAAATGTGTGCTCCGTATGAGTTACACTGCATTCAGCAAGCTCTTGAAAGCATGAGGTGTTTAATCTCCTTTTCCATGAATTTTCATACTAATTTTAATACTCGGCAGCAAGCAGCACCACAGCAGGGGCTTGGAGCTGCTCTGCTGCAGCTCACCCTGACGTGAATGGGGAATAAGCGCGATTCTCACCCGGAGCTCGGCGAGACGAGGCGCGATGAGGTAAGCGCGGCCCTCACAGCACCGCGGGGGGTGGGGGGGGAGGGTGAGGTGGGATCTCGGGGGCGGCCGGCGGTGCTGGGGGGGTTCCCGGGGAGGAGCGGCGCCGGCCCCGCCCCGCCGTGGCCCTGCGAGGCCGGCTGTGGCGCTGCAGCCGCTCGCCCGGCCCGGCCCTCGCCCTGCCCCCTCCCGCCCTTCCCCGTCTCGGGCGAGGAAATGACCTAAGAGGAAACCCGGGGCGGTGTCGGCACGGCGGGTCCGGGGCGCCGCGGTGATGGCGCTGCGTTCCGCGGTCCGCCCTGCGCAGCCTCGGAGGCTGGAGGAGCAGGGGCGGCCCGGCAGGTCGGTGCGGCCGCGCCCGGTCCTCCCCCCCCCCCCGCGCCCTGCCAGGAGCTCCCCGGGACCGTCCAACCCCGTTCTGTCCCCGGGGCCGCTGGGCCTGAGTGAGGGTTGGGAGTCCGGCGACTAGGAGGCGGTGCCGGGACCGGGCGACACTGGGTGCTCCGGACGGCCGCGGGTGGCCACGGCTCGGTGGTGGGAAAGGAGGCTCGCTGCTCTCCTCCCCGCCGCTGTGATGGTTCGCACCTGGCGGGGTACCAGGCCCTGGCGGGTCGGGAGTGCTCACCCCAACCACGTCCCTCCAGATCGCACTAAGATGGCTTATCACGGTGTGCTTTCGGTAGGATACTTGGAGATAACTGTGCTAAGGGCACTGCCGCCAGGCTGACAGACCAAGCGGCAAGATTTCACTCTGGTGCTGCTTTTATGCTCACGCCTTTCAGGTTGCTCTGGGCAGGGTTACTTGGCGCTGCACAAACTGGCCGTTCCGTCCCCGAGCATCCCGTGAAGCTCTCGGGGAGGCAGTGGGCGGTGACGGCGCAGACGCTGCCAGACGGGCTCAGATTTGTGCTGCCTCATTGCCCTGCCACGCTTTGGCTAGGTTTTCGCCATGGGCTGTGCTGTCAGCAGGACGTGGGCCTGCCGGTGAGCTCAGGCTGCCATGAAGAGCGGTTTGAGTGCAGGTACACAGAGAGAGAACAGTGCAAATAGGGGACAGCTTAGATTGGAAGGGGTCTTCCTGCTGGGCACGGTGCAGGGGTGCCCAGCTGTTGTGAATCCATCTGGGAGGAAACTTTAGTGCAGTCTGGAGGTAAGTAATGGTATGCAGAGGAAAGCTGTGAGTGCTGTTGGTTTGTGGCAGCCCCGATGGGGCAGGGTCTGCCCTGGGCCTCCCTAAAAGGCACCAAGGAGGGCAGACCTGGGCCTCTTCTGTGCCAGCAAGCTTTGCCGAATGCTGTGGGTTGTTAATGTGTTGTGCCACAGCTTTGTGGGAAGGAGAGCATCCGTGGGTCAGGCTGTTTGTGATCCGTCGATGCACCTCTAAAGGGCAACAAGCTCTTCAGCTTTAATTGTGGAAGGGACCTTTTGCACAGAGCAGTGAGCAACAGATGAGGAATTTCAAAGAGCTGGCAAAACTAATTTGTTAAATTGCCTTCTCCCTGTTTGTGCTGCAGGTCTGGTAGCCTGGCATTTTTCATCCTGCAGAATGTCTTGTGTGTCAGAGGAAACCCTGCCTCTGTGCCGTGTCTGCCCTCTTGCCATCTTTGCTGCCTCACAAACCAGCAAAAAATTAATCTAGAGATTATTCAACACTGCAGAGAGCTGCAAAAGGATGAGATAGAAGCCGTGCTGGAATTTGGCTGAACATTTTCCAGTGTTCTGCTGTGTTCTGGGAGTTGAAGGGACCTCATTCCGTTGCAGGAGGAGAGTGTGGATTGGATTGCTTAGGTGTTGGTTTTGAATCTTCCCAGGCTTTGTGTGAAATCATCTGAATTGCTGTTTCAAAGGCACAAAAGAGTGGCTGCATGGAGTGCTCCTGCATACGTACTTCTCCTTGGTGTAACCACAGGGAAGCCTTCTGGACGAAGACATTTATTTTGGGGGATTGATTTGGTGTGCTGTCCTTAAATCTGCAAATCAATAGACTGATTTTCACATCAGAAGAATGTAAGATGCAGCCCAAAAGTTCCTTGTCATCAGCTAGTAGGAAGCAAGACTTAAAAAAATGTGGGAATTGGTCTTTGCCCAGACTTAAGGCTGGAGCTGGATGCTGTATTAACAGGATACTTCTTATTGTCTGGAGGGCTGAGGTAGAAGTCTGGGCTCCAGGACTGGATGGGACTTGCCAGGCTAGGTGGAGGTCTGGGCTCTCTGGCCAACTAAGTCCTGTTTGCTCTTTTCACAGGGGCTGCTGCTAGCACATCTGTTCCCCTGATTCTTGCTGTTGGAGGAAGCCAGTCATGGGGGAAACAGGCAAAGAAGAGTATAAAATACAGTCGTTTGATATTGAGACTCAGAAGCTGCTGAAAACAGCACTCAAAGGTCAGCAGGTTTTTTCTAGCTTTTCTTCCACACTCAGCTTGGCTCACTGGTGTGGCTAGATACTTGGGCCCCTTCTGCTGTCACCAATTGCTAAGCGTAGAAAAGCTGTTTCATAAACGCTGTTGATACGGGACTGAATCCCTCCAGGAGGTTCTTTGTTCCCTGCCTCTTCTCTCCCACCTCTACCTCATTGTTGAATCGTGGGCTAGCTGTTCAAATCCAGGTTCTCAGAGGACCATGCTCATCATAGTGCTTTTCTCTCATCACTGGTGTCTTCTTCTCTTGTTCTCACTCAGCATCTCTCTTCAGATCTTGCCCCTCACTCTTCTCTCTGTGCCCAGTTTCTGCACCCTGTCCCCCAGTGTCTCCTGCTCACAGGTCATGTCTATTCAAAGCCTGGTGGGAATTTGCTTATCTGTCTGCCACTAGCCCAACTTCAAAGCAGTGCTGGGACTTCAGATACAGATCAACTTCTTGCCTCCCTTCATTACCATCTTTTTCTCCATCACTTTTGCATCTTTATGGCTGTGTCCAGCCTGAAAAGTCTGTGCAGTTGTTGGAGGTGGTATCTCCAAAGCAGATGGTGTGCAAGAGGGACTGTGGGAGTGAGCATGAGTTTTTGTACCATATGACATAGTTGTATGGTGCTCCATGCCAACCTTGGTTGCTTCCCAGGTATCCTGGAGCAAGCAAGGCACAAGAAATATTGGATCCAGACAGTATTTCTCCTCTCTACAGACCCCAGCAATGTGGACCTGGACAAAGTGGCCAATGTTATAGTTGACCAGTCCCTCAAAGACTGTGTGTTCAGCAAAGAGGCAGGGCGCATCTGCTACACCATCATCCAGGTAAGAGATATTTGTGTCTGGACAGTAAAATGCTGCTAACCTGTGCTAGGCCAGGACATCTTCTAGCCCTGCACTCTGACTCTTCAGCTAGCATCTCCCTTCTTCCACTTGGCCCCTGCACTGGCAGGATACAGATGTGCAGCTGGTGGGTGCAGACAGCTGCAGCCTTTCTATGTCTCTGGGCATCACAGGAGGGTATCAGGATGGTCCTGCAACATCCAAATCCCTATCCCCCCTGCCCCTCTCTGCCCCAGTTTCATCCCTCCATCCTGCTTTTGTGGGGTCTTAGGCAGAGAGCAAACAGGTTGGCCAGAGCATCTTCCGGAGGAGCCTGCTGAACCGGCTGCAGCAGGAGTACAAGGACAGAGAGGATTTGCGCAACCGGTCGCTGCAGGCGTGGATCTGCTACGTCACGTTCATCTGCAACATCTTTGACTACCTGAAGGTAAGGAGCCAGAGCAGGAGTACCTGGCTGAAGGGTACCAGAAGGGCCCAGGGCAGAAGTGTCAAACGTGTGTTACAACATCCCAGGGCCACAGCTCAGCAGAGTGGGACCAAAGCCAGTTCTCAGAATGAGGATGCTCCCAGGTTATTGCTACATACGAGCAAGTAATCAGCCTTGAAGAGGCAGAGATGGCTCTGGGGACAGTCACAAAGTCTGAGCTACTGTGTTTCATACCTGGTGTTTGAAATCCCTTCATTTAACCTGTTCTGAATATCCTAGATCAAACTAGTTGCTGTTAAGTCTAAGGGTAACTGCATTTTGTTTAGTCACTTAGGTGATCAAATAATTTCTAACCCACATAATAATGGAATTTATCTGCAAGCCTTTGCTGCAGTGTGTGCTTTAGATGCCTGCTTGGTGTGGATGTAAAAGTGATGCAATTCCTGCAGGCAGGAAGAATGCTGATACAAGAAGCGTATTTCCCATAACTACCTGTTTACATTTAAAAATAGATGTTTCCTCATCGCTTGTTGAGTTTCTGTGGCTGTTGGAGAGTCAACAGTCTGGTTTTCTATGTAAATAACACCATTACTGCATTTGGCAGCAGTTTTTTTCCCTTCTTTGAAATGCAGCAAGAGAAGAATTATCTAAAATAGCCGAAGAGACTCTTCCCCTTCTGCCACCAAGCTGACAATAGCTCCTGCCTCTTTACAGGTGAACAACATGCCCATGATGGCTTTGGTGAACCCTGTTTACGACTGTCTGTTCCGACTAGCACAGCATGATAGCCTGCAGAAGGAAGAAGAGGTGAGGACGGTTGGTCATGTACCCTTTGTTCAGTTAAGGACAAGCAAAAAGCACAGCTCTGGGGGGTGAAGAGAGCTTTACGGCCAGGCAGGAGCCTTCCTCCCCATTACGTGCTGGAAGAAAACCTACTGGACAAGAGGGCTTGCACTGCAGAAGGAAGCAGGATGGAGGTGCTAATTGTGGCTCCTTTGCCCATGCTACACATCCTTCTCTTGCATAGCTTTTTTTTCCCTGTGGCTATGTCATTACTGGCTGCACACTGCTGCAGAGACCCAGCAGCACAGCCAATCCTTGAGATAAGGGATGTCTAGCATTCTGCAAGTTCATCTCCCGTCATACAAGAAAAACGTAACTACTGTCTCTTATTTTCACAGAAAGCAGCTGCTTTTCTGGCAACCCCAGTTGCTGGACATCTGGAAAAGCAGCTGTCAGACTGATCTACTGGGGCACTGCAGCCATGGGAGGTGATGGCAGACACTGCAGTGGCTGCATGCCTACAGAGTTTCTGTGTGTGTCCTGCAGGTCTCAGTGACATGCACAATGTTTTGTGTAGCTGCTACTCATCCGTCTGGGCCTGCAGAGCTGATGCTGTGCCAAATGCCAGCAGGCTCCAGGCTCTTCTGGAATTCTAGCTTTATATGTGTCTGGTCAGCATATAAAGGCGCAGAAACATACTCAGGGCATGTTTGAGCTGCCCATGGATTACTGTAAAGTGTATGAGCCCTTGGATGGGGCCCTTTGTTGTTTTTTTTTTTTCCTCAGCACAAATCTCCCATCCCTGTGATTCACTGACTTACCCCTCCTATCCAAAGATTCAGTCTGTGCCCATTTCCTGTACATCTCCTGACTTTCTAGGATTTCTAGAAAGTGTTCCACCTATTTCCCTCTGTTCTTACTCCAGCTTCTGCCTTCAGTCTTGCCAACTTGTTCTGCATCCTGCAGAAAGGTAAAACTGTTAATGGTTCATTTTTCTGGCAATTTTGCTCACAAGGTAGGGGATTTCAGGATGTGTTTTCCCAGCACTTTCCAGACATTCAGCCTTCTGGATCACAGCAACTTGAGGGAACAGAGCTGTCACCTCTTGAAAATTCAGAGCAGAAGGAGCAGCATGAGTTGATCCAGAAGTGACTGATGGGGCCTCCAGTGATACGCCAAAGTTCTTAATTCCTTTGTACTCAACCATCTCCTTCTCTTCCTTCTGAAGGTGGACTGCTTGGTCCTACAGCTCCACCGCATTGGTGAACAGCTGGAGAAGATGAACTCCCAGCGGATGGATGAGCTCTTCTCACTCCTTCGAGATGGCTTCCTTTTACAGGAGGGGCTCAGCTCCCTGTCACAGCTCCTGCTGCTGGAGATCATTGAGTTTCGGGCTGCTGACTGGAAGATGACAGACGCTGCCCAGAAATATTATTATAGCGAAGTGACAGATTAAGCCCTCTACAGCAGAGGTGGAGAGATGTCCACAGCACTTTCACCAGCAAGCTTCATACCAAGTTTGAATTTCTTTTCTTTTTTTAAGCACTTCTTGTAAATAGGATTTATCCTGGCTAAAGCCTCTGGGTATTTAACTGTCATCTATCAGTCTGTGACCGGTGCTAGCCTGATTTTGGATATTTAGGCAGGGGGGCACACTGAAACCAGCAAGTTCTTCCACTCATTTTGTTTAATGATGGGCTGCTGCCAGCAGAAGGCAAGGAAGGCTTAAACCAGCATTTTATACAAGTATTAAGGAAAGCTGAGAGCATGGTGGTTGAGCCAAGAGCCAACACTGCTGAGGGAGGCAAAGGAGAAATGTTTCACAGCTCACAGTCCCAGACCAGGTTGTTTAGGAAAAGTTACAGAAAATACTGTGGTCAGATACATCACAAATAGCTCACCAAATTGCTGCTTTCCACTGATTACTTCCAGCAGACTGGCAGTATCTGCATAGGTGTATGACTGTGGGTCGTTAGCTACCAATATCTGCTGGCAGTCTTCAGCAGGATAAGGGTTCTCGAGCACATGTAGCTAGAAGCAAGTTTTTTTTATGTTTTATATAGTAACTGTTCTGGGTCTTTTCAAAATCTATTAAGGTTCAAGTATGGTATGTTTGTATATGGTATGAGAATAAGAATGGGGAAGGAAGAAAGAAAACAAAATAGTCTATTGGGTGTCTTTTGTAATAAAAGTTTTCCACTAATATGTGCCCTGCTTTCTCTCTGAGCATTTGCTGAGATGTAAGCAATACTAAAAAGTTGGTCCTGACTGAGGCAAGAAGGTTGTGATGTTAATAGAATAGAATGACAGAGGGGGTTCATGCAACCAGAGAAGCTGGAAAGAACAGTGTGAGATTGAAGCAACAGACAAAGGTTTGGAATCAAGAAACCTTCTCCATAAAGCATTGGTATTATTTTTTTTCTGTTAACATCTCCCTGACATCCATACAGTGTTGCTGATGAGCAGAACTGAAAGTCAAGGCTAATTATGGTGCGGGAAAAAACCTTCCAGATCTGCTCTTTCCTACTTATGCAGCCAGAAAGAGAAAAATGTTGCTGCAAGAGCAGAGATTTAAAAGTCTCTAGGAAACACATTAAGTAGAATATTTTGTACAGCGTTGCATCTAAAGCTTGTCTCCACAGGAAAGTGATTACGAAAAACTAGCATATCTGTGCAGGGATCAGTAACTACTTCAGATTCCCCCTTTTCCCATCCAGATAAGCACAAAGCAAATGAACTGTGTGGGGACTAGAGAAACTTTCCTTGGCTTAGTTCAGAAGCTGTCCAGAAGGGATTTTCCACCTTTCCCTCTAATCCCCAGCTTCTCTCAACCAGGTGGCCCTGGGACTCTGCTCCCCAGGCCTTGAGAGCAGTGACAGAGCTCTGCAGTGTGTGCACCCCGTGCGGCAGCCCTACCACCAGCGGAAGTGGGCATAAGCCCGGTTGGCCTCTGCCATCTTGTGCAGCACATGCTTCTTCTTGATGATGGGTCCTTCGTTGTTGAAGGCCTGGATCAGCTCCTCAGAGAGCTTCTCAGGCATCAGCGTCCGGCGGTGCTTGTTCTCCCTGCACTCAGTGATTAACCACTTCATGGCCAAGAAGCGCTTCCGGTTGTCCTTCAAAGGCACCGGGACCTGGGACACATTTAAACCACAACAGTTACTGTACAGAAAGCGACAGCAGCCTGCACTGTTACCTTTGATCTTTTCTGCTACGGTGACCCAAGTCAGAGCTTTGGAGCTTCTACTCAAGTGCCATGATGTAGCAAAGAGGGTGGGACCGCTAGCGCTAGTACTGCCGATTCTTTTGCTGCCTTTCTCTGATCTCTGACTCCTTAGGCAATGTTTGCTGCATATCTGTCTTAGTTCCACTGAAATCAGTTTTTCTCAAAGTTTTCACTATGTTTGGCATTAAAAGAAAAACAAAACTGATAACCCACCATTGTTTATACTTATTGCTGGGCAGTTCCAAGGACATTCCTGCTCCTCAGCTTCTTGTATTGCTCTGCCAGCAAGGAGACTGGGAAGAAACAGGCCCAGGGCAGCTGATCCAAACTGAATAAAGAGGTATTCCATACCATATGACATCATGCAAATATAAGGGAGCAGTTAGCTGGGCAGAGGCTGCTGCTTGGGGACTGGCTGGGCATTGGCTGTTGGGTGGTGAGCAATTGCTTTTGTGTATCCCTTGTTTTTGTCTATGTATATACATATATACATATATGTATATGTATGTATGTATAAATACTGTTATTTTCTTTCACTTTTTCTTTCTTAGTAAATAGTCTTCATCTCAATCCACAAATTCCACTGCATTTTGTCCTAATTCTATCCCCAATCTCACTGGGGTGGGAAGGGGGGGGGGGGTAAGTGAATCATTGTGTAGTACTTAGCTATCTGCTGGGTTAAATCACAACAATATCCTACTTCTTATCTAGTCAGAGAAACTGACTAATGCCTCTAAGGGAATCACAGAATGGCCAGAGTTGGAAGGGACCTCGAGGATCATGGAACTCCAACCCTCCTGCCACATGCAGGGACACCAACCTCTCCCTTTAATACTAGACCAGGCTGCCCAGGGTCCCATCCAATCTGGCCTTGAACACCTCCAGGGACAGGGCATCCACAATCTCTCTGGGCAGCTGTTCCAGCACCTCACCACTCTCATAGCAAAAAACTTCCCCTGACATCCAACCTAAATCTTCCCTCCCTCCACTTAAAACCCATTTCCCCTTGTCCTGCTGTTATCTACCCTTTCAAAGAGTTGATTCCCTTCCTGTTTGTAGGCTCCCTTTAGGTACTGAAAGGCTGCAATGACGTCTTTTCTCCCGACTGAACAAGCCCAGCTCCCTCAGTCTGTCTTCATCAGAAATTACCATGCTCACAGGCTAGGGGTGTAATCCTGGATAGGTGTTGTTTTAATCCAGATTGCAAACTGCTTTTCTTCCTGGGGAAGAGGAGTGGCTGAGCTGAAGGGGTAGCAACCAACACATTTGCTTCCCTAGCTAATTCTCCCCTGACCAGATGTGCTCAAGACCCCCTCATTTCACCTGGTAGGTTTTGCCACCTCTTGTGATGTTGCTGAGTCCAATGATAGGCTGGCAGTTTTTCAGAGCCTGGTGGAAAATGACATAAGGGTTGCATTCAACTGTCTCCTTCTCATCATCTGGAGCTCTGTGGTACTTTTCCAGTTGCTTCCTCTTAATGTTCTCTAAAGTCTTGAGATAAAGTCAAGAAAGGAGATAGGCAGAGCAGATAGATTATCCCATGGAATTATACCACTTTTTCAAGAATTCCATATACAATTGAACCTACAGCTGGTTTTTTAGTCCTACAGGTAACAGGCCCATCAGGGATTCTCTTACTCTAATTTTACTTCACTTTCTTCCAGATTCTCAGTATCTTCCTTAGACATTGCATTTGAGGTGAGGAGGTCAAGTAGCATGACATGGGACAGGTGCCGAGGGAGGGATGGGAAAAAGCAGAGACAGCAATATGGATCTGTGTGCGTGAAGCATCTTCTCCTCCAAAGCCTGGTGTTCAAGATCCCACAGCCTATGTAATTAGCAGTTTGGGCAACACATATCCCCATTTTAAGAGCTGGAACAACACCAGCTAATACCAATTATTGTAGGTCAGAGCAGGGGTTGAAAATGTGTCATACAAGTGACACATTTGTGGGCCTTCATTGGAAAGCATACAGAATATAAGGCATTAAGAGTTAGAAGGAAGAAGCATGAGCACTCACCTGAGCCATGAGGCTTCTGGCCAGCACTTTATTCCCATCCTTCATCATCATATTGGTGAATTTACTGTGAACACAAAAGCAATCTGATTTAAATTCTCAGTTCATCACTTGCAAAAGTGTCCCCACCCTTGCGTTTTTCACATGCTTAAGTCTGGGCGCTGCTAGATCTGCTTAAACTATCTCTAATCACTACCAGTTAATAGACTGGCTTTGTGGGAAAAGATTAACTCAAATAAAGAGATTGTGCTGTTACAGAAGGCAACGTGCAGCACAGCAAGAAAAGGCCAAGAAGGATAGTCCAGCTCCCAAGTATCTGGCTCCATAGGACCTAGTTTAACAGAGATGGTGCTTCCTCTGACCTGATCATAGGGTCGCTGAAAACAGAGCTGGAGATACTAGGAGGAGCTGCTTTTATGGGACGAACAGCCTTAAGCTCTTGCTTTTCCTTTTCCTCTTCAGACAGCTCATTAAAAGGTTTCTGATACAATTCTTTGTTCACTTCTGGCTCTAGGAAGCTGGGGTTGTAGCGACTCCATCTCACCTGTGCCAATCTGCAAAGACCAAGAAGGAAGGTTGTAAATCAACACCTGGTATGTCTCAGATGGGAGCAGGACAGCCATGAGAACACATCTTGGAAATCCCTATTAAATCATAGAATCACAAGGTTGGAAACAACCTACAAGATCATCTAGTCCAACCGTCTCCTTATCACCATTGCCACCACCAGCACTAAACCACATCACACAGCACGTCCTCCAGACACCTCTTGAACACTGCCAGGGATAGCGACTCCACCACCTCTCTGGGCAGCCATTCCTGTGCCTGACCACTCTCTGAGAGAAAAAGTTCTTCCTTATGTCTAATCTAAACCTCCTCTAATACAACTTGTGGCCATTACCCCATGTCCTGCTCATTGCCTGGGAGAAGAGGCCAAATCCCTCTTCACCACAACCTCCCTTCAGGAGGTTGTAGAGTGCAATGAGGTCTCCCCTGAACCTCCTCTGCTCCAGACTGAACAATCCCAGCTCCCTCAGCCGCTCCTCGTAAGACTTGTGCTCCAGACCCCTCACCAGTTTTGCTGCCCTTCTCTGGACACGCTCCAGGACAACATCTTTCCTGTAGCGAGGGGCCCAAAACTGAACACAGTACTCGAGGTGCAGCCTCACCAGTGCTGAGTACAGGGGATGATCACCTCCCTGCTCCTGCTGGCCACACTATTTCTAATGCAGGCCAGGATACCATTGGCCCTCTTGGTCACCTGGGCACAGTCGGCTCATGTTCAGCCGAGCATCAACCAACACCCCCAGGTCCCTTTCCTTTTCACAGTCATCCAGCCACTCATCCCCAGTCCTACAATGCCTCATGGGGTTGCTGTGCCCAAAGTGCAGGACCCAACACTTGGCCTTGTTGAACCTCATCCCATTCACCTCAGCCCAGCGGTCCAGCCTATCTAAATCCCTCTGAAGGGCCTCCCTGCCCTCAGGAAGATCGACACCACCTCCCAGCTTGGTGTCATCTGCAAATTTACTGAGGGTACACTTAATCCCCTCATCTAGGTCATCAATAAAGATATTAAATAAGATGGGCCCCAGTACCAACCCCTGGGGGACACCAGTTGAAACGGGTCGCCAGCTGGAATTCACTCCATTCACCACGACCCGCTAGACACAGCCTTCTAGCCAGTTCCTTACCCATAGAAGTGTATATCTGTTCAGACCACGGGCAGCCAGTTCCCCCAGAAGAAGCCTATGAGGGATGTGTCAAAGGCTTTGCTGAAGTCTAGGAAGATGTATTATCGATGGATATTAAGATATTATAATCACAAAATAAACAAGAGAGTTAGGCGAAGTAGACTATGATAACAAAAGAGAATAAATGGAAGGCTTATGCTGGGCCCCTTATGCTGGGCTCACCCACAAAACACCAGAACAGGTGATCTCCAGACGAGATCCTTCTCC